TCCTACCATTGGACCCACAAAACCGACCTGTCGCATCAAGCCACGTCGCCAGTCAGACGGCATTCAGAAGCTGAATCACACATCACGCTGTGACTTGAGCAGGAAGTTCTCCTGACAGAATTGATCCTGTTCACAGCACATCTTCCCAGTTCTCGTTACGGGGACGCCTGCACTCGAGCGCTGCTCTCACTTGTACGCCATTTTGTTACTTGTGTTACGGTCTTCTTCACCAGTCGGTACATTCCTGTGTATAGGAGGACGGATCAATCCGAACACGACGACAGCATTTGTCATGATAGCCATGGCGCTCTAGCGCAGATCTCGTTGACCGTCGATTCGGCAGCAAGCCTTGCGTCTGGGCTGGTGAAAAAGTGTGTGCGAGGCCATATCTCAGGTTAAAAGTGTAACAGCAATTATTATTCATTAAGCTGTGGTCTGAACTCGTTTTCGCAAATTAGTTGGATTCACCTCAACTGTAGTTATCTTCAATTATAATTACATTTCCTAGCGTCATACCGTGGACTTGGTACATTCTCAGACGTTTCGCCGGCATCGTCAGTCTCGGCACCAAGCCTCAGCTCGTCAAGGAGACAAGTCAGGTTGTAGCTTGGAGCTGAGAATGACAAGACTCACTGACGATGCCGACTACGATGTCAGTGAAACGTCTGACAAATCCACGGTCCGACACTGAGATAACATTGTTGTAAAGATTTTCATTCCGTAAGAAAGCTCATCCTGGGCCCGACCGTATAGAAGATGCCGAGGAGCTTAGAACCATCGCGAACTTCGGCTTGCATAGAATTTAAGCCATCATTTCTGGATGAATTACAAAATAACATTTAGTGGAAAAATAAGACTATTCCTTTTTATAGTAGGCAGAGTACGTGGAGCAGCGCATCCTAGCAAGTGACAAAAGAAGCGGTCAAACTCCAGAAGGGCAAGATAAATGCCAACTTTGTCAAATTGCACCAAATTCTGATAATCAAATGGCCTGCAAGGTAGGGAAAGCTTGGTCTTGCCAGTTAGGGCTTCCACTGTACTCGACTTAAAGAAGTTTACAATAAAAATAAGACTTTTGCTTAAGTCACATCTGACTCAAATCAGCATTACAATCGTGTTTCATTAGTAGTTCTAATGCAAAATGGCAAAGTAGGTCTCTTCAAAGCATTAATTCTTCCACTAACCCCACTTATTAACACGCCCTGGTTATTGTTCTTTGCTTAGCTGCCATCTAGCCAAATGAATCCGTGATGAGATAGCATCTTTTATGGGACATAAATACCTTCAGACATGAAGGCTTTTCCAGCGCTCGTAGGCTTGAGAACGGATTTTCGCCTGCACTTTTTCGCCGTTCTCTCATGAATTGAGATCAACAGTAAGGAAATATATTCCATCGTATTCAGTAGAAACATATTTTGAGAACGATGCTATCTAAAGCCTGATAATTGACCTGTTCACAAAAAGGTGAAAGGTCCTTTCCATGCCAATGACTTTTAATTCACTTCAAAAACGGCTTTTCGTGCAGATTAAATTGAATTTTCAATCTCGCCTCGTTCTCCTCATCACCCCTGAGGAGATGGAAAACTGTGATTTGTGCACCAAAGTGGAACGCTTCAAAACTCGACCACAGCTCGTGTGCAAGCCGTTAGCTTGCAGATTCGAAATAAAAGGCAATCCAGACCATGCATAACCTATTTTTTTATATAGACGAGTCTCATTCAACGAGGCATACTGATACTATCTAGAGAAGCCAGAAAGGATAGAGATAAGTTCATTATTCCTCCAAATTTTCAGTAGATTTGCTTGAGAGCCGAGCATTAGCAAATTTGATAATTACATCTCGATTAATGCCATGTTTAAAACCACATCAAAACCAGTTATTGTGACGTTGAAATTCAGTTTATAATTGATCTGATCTCGTCTTCGCAACGTGTTAGTGAAGTCAGAGGTATCTCAACTAATGTACTATGTCCAGCGTCTTTTACGATGGTGGTAATGGTAACTTCCAGCGTCGTACTGTAAACTTGGTAACTTCCCAGACATTGGACGACATCGTAGTTGCCCTCGTCAGTGAGCTTCATCATTCCTAGAACCAAGGTACAACTCTTCAGGCTTACTAGGCAAAAAGAGAAGAGGATCGAATAAGAAAAAATGAATGAAAGAATAAACGCTGAGAAAGTAGTAAAGTTTAACAGTGTCTATTCGGGATGCAACTTGGCATATATGCCCACTATTGAGACTACATCAATTTAGACCACCCAGTCAAGACCTACTCACAGTGACGGCCACAAGTTTCCCAATGTATCCTAGTATAGGAAAATAGACTGATTAGAGAATTGCATTTATCCTTGATTGAAAACAAATTCTAAAAGAAGCTATAAATTTTATACAATTTCAGACTACTCGGTAATGGTTGGATCGTTAATTTCATTTTGTCAGTGGGCTTGATGCTTGAATACTTTCTTAAAAATAAGCCTTTGTTACATTCAAGTGATCCAAATCGAAAAGGAATGGCAGGAGTAGGGCCAAAAAGTTCGCTTTTCTTATTCG